ATGACAGAACCATTAAATCCCGTGTCTTGTTGGGACAGAAGCGCCCCCTTTGCCTCTTTTAATTACCTGGGGGATCCGACAGTGAAATGGTGATTGGGGGAATGCGATTCCTTAGAGAATAGTAATTATTTCGATTGAAGTGGAGACATTCTTACTTCCTTGCAACGCAAGACCATTATTCTCTCTCTCTCTCTCTCTCTCTCTCTCAATATGTCCAAAGATTAATATTTCTATAAATTTTCAAAAAGATGACATAGATATGAAGAGATAAAGATTATTTGCTATTTTTGGCCCGCGGACTATCAACAGCACTGTTTGTATAGGACCCTGTGGCTGACATAACTATGACTGGCTTATCTGAAAGGTCGGCGCAACTTCTGACACCCAGCTAACTAGTGGATCTGTTTAACCCGTGTAAAAATCGTAAAACATGACAAAACTGGGATATCTTACTTTGGATCGTCTATTGCTTCCTGCGGGTTTTATTTGTTTTTCGTCTGTGATTGGTATTTTTCATTTTTCTGGCAAATTAAATTAGACAACCATGATTAGAAATTTTCTCAGCAATATTACATGCAAATGAAACCAAGAGAAACATGCGATTTAAATGTCTTTTCTCCCCTGTCTCACGCCTGTTGATTTATATGTATATTTATTAAAATTGAATTTGAAAAGACAAAAAATATTTTTCACAGTTTTTAAGAAAACAAATGTATGTATTTTATTCAAAGGATTTTGAAGGATTTCTAAAAAAAAAAAAAAATCTCTTTAGAAAATATTAATAAATTCATATCTTAACTAAGAAGATATTTTTTATGTTTTTAATTTAAATCCAGTAATGCAGTTTGGATGTAGCTCTGCCTTGTCAACATTTATCATAATAAGCTGTCAACCGTCGGAGTTATTTAACAACTTTAACAAGAAACATGAATTTCAAAGTAGCAAAATAAACAATAAATCTTGTTTCATTCTGAGATCAAAGAAGACGTTTCTGTGCCTATAAATTTATTATTGTTTTGAAGATTCTTACTTATTTAGAAATTATAAACATTTTTCAATGAAAAAATGTGTCAAATGAGATTACTTCTAAATAATGTTTGTCCGTACGTACAGTGATATTGTAATGCAACACACTTGGAATCAAATTAAATTTAAAAAAAAAAATTGTTAAACAATTTTCATTTTTTAACCATAATTAAATGATTTTTTTTTCTTTTTCTTTATATAGTTATTTTTTAAAGTAAAATGTTAATGCAGGGTGTAAACAAAATGCTTATAACAATTTTACAGTACATAAGACTGTGCACTTACAGAGAGATATTGGAGGGTTGAATATCTGTAAGGCTTAGTGTAGGTCATTACGAAGATATAAAGTGACATATTACGGAAGGACCCACTATTGACAGTCGATCTCCTCTAATCACCGTAACAAACGAGTTCCCCGTCAATCAAGCTCGTCTAACCGACAAACCATCACAAATATTTACAACGTCCACTTACAAACAGCGACACCGCGGTCAGCGCGCCTGAGTACCTCCCACAAAACAGCGAACTCGGCGAGTGTAGCACCTAGAATATCGTTATACATCTCTTTCTTTAGAGAGAAAAAATAAGGTGTCTTAACATATAAAAATCGCAGACAAAAGTAAAATTTTCATAAGAAATTTAGAACAATATGTGTAATGTTTCCTTCTTAAAAAATCAGTCTAAATAAAAAACAAAGAAAGGCAGTCCGTTTCCTGAGAAATAAAGCTTTTATAGCTCAAAATAACCTGAAAAAGAAAGCATAACTTTTTAAGAAAATTTCAAAACCTATACAATATTTTAAAAAATATTTGCCAGATAACTTCCTACATGTATTATGTTTCTTCATTTTCACCCGACCACCGAGTGACGAATATTTCCGAAGTTAATCGAACAATTCATCAAGTATTAAACACTTCATTAGAAACTCACCGATCTTCGTTAATTAATCACCTTAATTAAGAGTGTTTTCAATTCCGATCTTATTGCACATTTTCCAATTAGCTTGCATCAGAGTTAATCACCAGCTGGAAATGTTATGTAAAATTTAGTCATACGATGTGGTAGAAATATGTTCAGTGAAAATTTGCTTTCAGAGTAAAAATTGATTTTATCAATTAATATCAACCTTATTCTTTACATATGTATTTTCTGTTTTAATAAAGTATGAAATTTAATACAAATTTAAAATTTACAACAAGAAAAGAAATTGAAAAAAGTGGATTTTTTTAAATTAAAGAGGCAGGTTGCGCATTGTCTTCGTGTAATTTATTAAACAATTATGATTATGTTGCCCTTTCATGGTGCACTTGTTGATTAATGCTTGCTGATTTATTGGAGTTTCATTTTTATTTCGAATATCTATGTAATATTTGAAATAAATAATTCCACTAACTGTTACATTTTGCTTCTGAAGTAGCGGAACATTTGCCTTTTATTCTGACATTTACCATGAATCAAAAAGGCTTGTTAATATTACAAAATAATTTAAAAGCTACTTAATTGCAATTAATGGGTCGTCGTGACTCAAAAGGCCCTTCTCCATTATTAGAAAACCATCTCTCGTTATATTTACATGTCGTTAGTATGACAATCACAAGAGGGAAATCTTTCCCTAGCGGTCTTTAGTCTGACCCCTGGCACTCGGAACTCTTCACCATTTACATGAAAATGACATGCGGTTTGCATTAAAAATGGCCCTTCTCCTTGAAGTACGAAACCGTTTAGCATGCACACAATGACAAAATGACATTCTCTATCAAAATTCTCGACAGTTGATTAGAAGCATCGTTTTTATAATTTATAGTTATGTATTCATATATAGTACATAAAACACTCGACTTTCTCTGACAAAAATAATAAATACATAAACTCTTCCTTTTCTAGATCTTTTGTTTCCCCCCGATATATCATTTTTAAGGTTCGACCCCTTCAATAATTTTGATTTTTACACTTTTAAAGTGTGTCAGTTTTCCAACGCCATGATGCTGATTTCACTGTGTTGTTTTTATATCTGATGTAAAAAGTATGAAAGGGGGGGGGGGGTCCAAAAGATCGATGTCTGATAAAAAGCTAAATTCAAGTTAGGGGTAGGGGAGGTGGTGGTCAAGAGCCCCCAGAATTTTTTCTTGTCCACATCTGTAATTACACAAAAAGTACATATTGTACATGCAACTTTATGCTCTTTGTACATTTCTTTTTATCAATAAACAAAAGAAATAACCCTATGCTATTTAAAGTGTAATGGATATTTGTACAATGATCTTTAAAATCAGATTTGAATACTTTGTTTTTGAGGAGGGGGGGGGGGGGAGTCTTGATTAAACTGTGAATTTAGTGGGGTTTTTTTTTGTCCTCGCCCTTATATAACAATCAATCATTATATATATATATATATATATATATATATATATATATATATATATATATATATATATATATATATATATATATATATATATAAAATCAATAATTGAATACCAAATGAATTATGAAGCGAAAAAGTTTTATGCAAAGCATCATGATTACAATGGTTAATTAGAATGCACTAAGTAACTTAAAGCCAACTTTAATGTTTTGCCTGGCTTGTTTTTATAAGCTTTAAAATTCAGCATAAAGAGAGGCTTGATAAATAGTGACATCAAACTGGCGTTCTAATGTCAGAAATTGTGAACTTTTGAAAGCAGATCGCGTTCTCGTTAAAATCCCGCCACTGGCACGAAGCGACCTTTGACACCATACCGATCTTCTGCATAATAATGGCCGCTTAAAATCCGTTTTCCAGTTGCATATGTTTGTTGCGCATACGGCAGTGTCAAGAAAAGGCAGATTGTATCGTTGCAAGGAGAAAATGAAATCGAATGCCTATTCTTGGATGAGTAGCCTGTTAGCCTGTATTTGGTGATTATTGGTCTTGTGTGTTAATTTTCAATTCCCTATGCAAGACATGCGCGATTGGGGGCATTGCTATAACCTTTGTATCATTAAAATTGAAATATATTCCTAACGCTTCGGCAATTTTTGTACAACATTATGAGCAGAACAAAGAGATTTTATTCAATTTGAATAAAGTAATAAACTTTTTGTAATTAATGGTGACAATACAATATCAACGCACATGTTATCCCAAATGATATACCTGAATGTTGACATGTTTATTTCTTGTGATTTTCATTTTTTTTAAAATGAAAGCTGTGTTAAGAGTGCAAGATCTTTTACGATGCGTAAATACCATTTTCTTAAACATTTGGCGGTGTTTGATAAAATTTTGGCTAAAAAATTGACGCTATTATGATATCTTAAAATCTTCTCTTTTTTTTAATCTTAGGACCTCACACACCCACAAATAAGATCAGAAACTTTTTGAATTCAGTACTGCCCGTGTAGTAGTTCTTTTTCAAACAAAGCGTAAATGTCCTAGATTTTTCAAGGTCTTTGTTCACAATTTTATATTCAAATAAAATACTTCAACGCCTCTGATTTATGAACAAATTAAAATGTCCTTCCTCTTTCTGTCAATGGAATCCAAATCTTGTTTTTAGTCATATGAGCAAAAATCTGGCTTATCAGATGAAAACTTAGAGATCACCCCATGGTTTATGCACACCCTCGTGGTGAAACCGGGTACGCTTCACCGCCATGATAAAGGAGTGAATATAAAATTCTTACAATTGAATAGTTTTAGTTAGATGCAAATTTTGGCTTATCTTATTTAAGAATTCTATAATTTCATTATCATTAAAATGTAAGTTTTGTAATATCAATTTACCAGGCTTTGTCATGTCCTCGAAATTTTTGATTATGACATTTTAAATGCCTCATGCTGCATGCTTACTTTGACACTGATTTATAAGATGAAAATTACTCGATAATTTAATCGGGGCGGGGGTGGAGGGATCAAACTATTACCATCATTTAATGCAAAGGACGAGAAATATATTATCATTTTTGTAATTCATACTTATTTTAAATTTTAGAGGCAAAACGGAGAGAACAAGCAGCTTTATTTGGGAAACATCAACCACCGAAAAAGCGACGAAAGTCCCGAACAGCGTTCACAAACCAACAGATCTACGAGCTAGAAAAGAGATTTCTATATCAAAAGTATCTGACCCCAGCGGACAGAGACGAAATCGCTCAGAACCTCGGACTTTCTAACGCTCAGGTGATCACGTGGTTTCAGAATCGCAGAGCAAAGTTGAAACGCGATCTTGAAGAGTTAAAAAACGACGTTTCTGCGACTCAGATATTGAAATCGCCTTCACATCACCTGAAAGACGATAACGTGTCAGAAAAATCATTTAACACTGACCCCGATTTGTCAAGGTCGGCAGATGAGGACGAATGTGAACCTTCTCCACCAAAAGTGCAAAGGACTTCCGAAAGTGAAGCAGAAAATGTATCAGAAAAAGACGAGTGTTCCGATGTTGACATGGAGATACATTCACCCTGATATAACATCCTGAACTCTTATTGGTCACAACCATAACGTTCAGTTTTAAGTTCCACATGTCCCAAAATGTGCCATATGATCTAAGTCTCATATCGATGTTTTTGGTAATACTAGTGACAGGAAATTCCACAAGGTATGCCTGAAAAGGTCATGACCTTAAATCCTTGTTGCAAGCTTCCTCACGAACATTTGAGGAAGACCGCATTAGTTTGTTAAAACATGTCTTCATGAAGTGAACGAGAAATCAGTATACAAGTATATAACGGTGTATCATTTAGTTTCCCTCATTCTTCTAGTTATTGCAAGATCACGGAAATCGGATGAACTTGGCACTTTTTAAGAGCAGATGTGAAAGCATTATTGGTAAGAATAGCGGAAGTTTATTGCTAACTTACAGGTCTCCTTACATATCCTTGAATGAGTTGCTACAGTAGATAGATATGTAGAACTATTTCACTAGAGACCGAGTTTTATTGACTCGGTGCGGATTTTGTACCATCTGCTTCTTTGTTTCTTAATTCTTATTTGGAATTAAACACCTTGAACATAATAAATATGAATGTTAAAGACTTTTATATCTTGCGTCTTTTTCTACATTTTTTTATTACAAACGCATTGCTTGAATTTTCTCAAAGTACTAGTAAATAATCCATGTTTAAAAAAAAACATTATTTTATATATTTAATAAACAGGTTTGAAAAATTATATTTTAAAATTAAGGATAAAGTATCTAACATTACATCATGATAAATGTATGAATACCTTCAAGCCAGGTAGATATTCAGTATTCCTAGAATATATTACAATATACAAGGAACACAAAAACTGACGAATTCGTAAGGTATGTCACTTGTCAGCTTTGTTGGTCAGAACCTCTAACTTCAAAATTATTTATTACAAATCAATTTTTATGATATATTTGAATTAAACAATGCTAATTATACAATATTCAATTTAAAAACTTCTCACAAAATTGTAAAGAAGCATGATTTAAGGGGGACTTTTTCTTGTGGTGGAAGGATATTTAGAAGAAATTCTTGAAATCTGCACATTTGTTTGATTTAATATCTTGAGACATTAGGCTAGCTCTGCATATTTTTACTCGAAGAATTTTTTTTCAATTAATATTTTAAAATAAATTTTACACATTCACTCAACAGACTTTGCCAAAAAGTGAAGATATATTTAAGAAGTCAAGGTAAAATTTACATTGTTTTTCGCCCGAAAAATCGCATCTTTTGACCAATATCTCAAAATTTACATCACTGACCCCAACTTTTTCTTTCGTTACTTTAAATTACACGATAAATTTAACCGATCAGCACTAAAGCTATAAAAAGCTTGATACAAAAAAAAATATTTCATTGACATTAGATTTTTTAATACCCCAAATCTGATATTTTTTTAGTGCAAAAAGGCCACACAATACTTTACGTGCATTAATTTGCAGGATTATTTCAGTAATAAATATTATGCAAGCTATTTTACATAAAATAAGGTTATATTTATTGCCATGATTACATTTGGTAAAATATGGAAACAGTCAAAGTGATTACTAGTAACCTAAAAGTTACAATTTAAGTACAAAAAGGTAATTGTACCGTTGCTCAGTAAGATGCACACTTACCCTCAATTTTTCTCTGCGTTTTTTGAGTCAAGCTATATCAGTAGTTATCTAAAATATACTTCTCAAAATATTCTTGATATAACTCATGTTACGAGTGACATACCTAAAGATTTATTGTACAATATTTCAAAAACTAAACATGGAATTGAAGACAATTGTTATGGGAATGCATGTTACGTTTAACAATCTCATTCTTCTTTACGAATGATACAATATAGCCGTCATTTTCGGCTGCCATTCCTGGTCCCGAACTGTTATTACTATATAGGTTTATTTTATTCACAAATTTTACACAAATTCATTCTATCAAGAAGACAAGTGTATCTAAACTATTGTGAAATACAAATACCTCTGATAGTTGATGGGTTTCTTAAATCATTCAGATTCTTATTGTAAAGAACTACAGAGTAAAACTACATTATGATTTGTTTATAATGAATCTCATCATTTGACCTAAATACCTGTATGAATACCCATCAAGAAAACACGACTTTAAGAAAAAATTCTATATAAAACAAGGACATACCACTATCTTCAGATCAAATAAGGGTCATGGTTGTGCATTTTATAATTACATATACATGTACAGTGCTAATTTTTTAAATTAAAAAATTGCCGGCCGATGTTGACAATGGTTGAAAATTTTCGCCGAGGTTGACTATGGTTTTCTTGGGGGGGGGGGGGGTCAAAGTTACCTTCACAAACATACGATATCTTATATATTATACTGAATGTTTTATACAGCTACCTCGTACATATTGTGGTGAATGCGCAAAGGTTCCGCGCAGTAAACTGCCACTCGTCGTCAAGTGATATTGACCATTGTTACGTTCATGTCACGCTGAAGGGTGAGGTTTCATTCTTCAGTAGGTATTAATATTTTTATGAAATGTTTCTCGACAAATCAGATTAAACTAATTAACATGAAAGTTTATAATTTAGGAATACTCGTCCGTCTTTAATTATTATTCCCGAATGAAATCGCAAAAATTAAACTGCCACGAAATATAAATTTCATAGTATTCTTTTTATTTATTCTTGTATTTTTAAGACGAGCTATTGGAAAGTTTTTCTACTTCAAAGTTAGCTAAAAATAACAATATTGAAAAATATAATACATAATAATATAATTGAGAATAAGATATCCATATGATTATGACCATGTTTCATCTATATGTGTATCTTAATGCATCCTTTAGATTCAAATTCTTCAGATCGTCTTTATCGATTACATTTTCTTCCATTTCCGGCTAAGATAACATTCCAATACATGCACTATATTTTATAATGGAGATAACAGAAAATAATATTATTATTAGAAATAAATTCCATTTAGCGTCGGTAACGATCCTCTGTCCACCAAACTGGCAAATCAAGCTATGACTTGCCATGTTACTTATTTAGACAACAATTACAAAGAAAATGAAAAAAAAGTGTCTGCAAAATGACAGGTTTTAAAATCAATTTTATTCCGGATTTTAAAATCTATTTTTATTCTATTTCTGGAAGGAAGTTGATTCTTGAGAAAAAAAAAATCAATGATTAGAGAAAAATAATATTTGAATCTATGTTGTAGATAGAAGTATAATTCTTAAGACTTCATGAATAAATTAATGGTATAAAAGATTCTACTTTTAAAAGACATTTTTGCCTTTATTTCAATAACCAGGGCGTCTATACATGAATGAAAAATTCTCGAACGGGACTTAAAACAACATAAAATCAATCAATCAATCAATAACCAGGTGTACTATTGTTCGTTGTTATTCGATAGAAAAGTGAAAAGGGCTAAGATATGGAAGCAGAAAAATAACGCAGGCATTAGGACATCCTTTAAAATAATACATTCATGTACACATGTTAGGATTAAAGTCAGGTTTCACGTGTCACAAAAGCGTATGCAGAAAGTTTCAGATGAATCTATTCACCAAAACAAAACCACAAAATCGAAGATATTCATAAAACTTTCGCCTACCAGTAAGAGCTTGTAATGTATGCCATTCGTCAAACGCGTAGAAATTAGCAACAATTTTCTTGTGAAAGTATTTTTTAACGATTTTTTTTCACTTACGTCATCAAAAGTATGCGAAATCTCGGACTACTTCATTTAATTATTCAAATGAATGAATCTGAAGTTCAGGGATAGGGAATTTTTTATGGAAACAAAAGAAAAAAAAGTTATTACAGATCAATTTTTCGCTGATAAATATAGAATATCAAAGTGATCATTGCACGATGCAAAGAAATGGTGAATGAAATATTAATCAAGAGAGTTTTGTGCGAAAATACAGAACTACTGCTATTAAAATTTGATTTGCTAATAGCTCCCTTTTTAAAACTAATTCTTTATATTGACAAAGAAACAGATATTAATTCTGTCGATATTATAGTGATTATATTAGTTCTTCTGGGTTTTCTCAATGTAAGTCAAGTTTTGACAGATTGAAGAATTCTTATAGAAAAGTTAACTTGACGTTATGGTAGTCAAATAAATTGCAAAAACAGTTTATCGTATGAACTTGCACTTCTCTTCCTCATGCCATGGTTTAAAGGACTTTTGTCTCTGCTATAGAACGTCTGCTATAGAACGCACGGCCTAGGTGATTCATGCGAGCGTTGTGATCCATGGGGTCTTGTTTTATTTATGTGTTTGGCTTTTTTCTCTAATATAATGCCAAATATCAAATGAACTGCATGTATTCATTTTTTTTAAAAAAAACCTGATAAGTTGTAACATATTTCATAAAAGTTGACTCATGTTGTAAAAGAAAACCTATAATTTAAGTATTTGTTATATTAAAAACCATAGATCTAAAAGACATTTTAAAAATGAAGAAACGAGATGTATTTGTTACATATAAACACAAATATTCCCCACCCCATCCCCAACCCCACCCTCCTCAAAGATAGGTAAGCTTTGGGCTATGATGTCATCAATAGTTCCCTGACAATCTATAGAGGTTTTTAGAAGTCACAGAAGAAAAACCCCTGTTCCCCCTCTTTTTACACAGTTAACAAATGTTTCATTCCTCAGAAGGAGCGTAGGGTTAAAATGTACTTTGCTAAATTTATTTCATATCTAAGAAAGAATTAATGTTTAAAACACGATTAGTTTCATTACATGTATACTGTATCTTTTAATGAGTTTAATATTTGATTGATTTTAATTGAAATCTTTATTTGTCATTTTATGTAATTAATTAAATCCATCACCAAGTGTGACCTACTTACACTTTTAATTTAGTTCTGCAACTATTACTGGTAAGATGGTTATTTATTTTCTATAAAAGAATGACGGATATGAACCTAAAATTCAGTTGCAACATCAGCATGAAAAGTACTTGTCATTAATGGCGATTTTTGACGCACACATGGTGGTGTTTCATCGCAGTATTTTTTCCAAATTTTAAGGATCATGAGGATTGTCCGGTGCTTTTGCAATGTAAATCCTAATCCTAGCCAGAACTCATAAAGTTTTAGTAGAAATTTTAATCAACGATGGTGTTTACTATCAATTGCTGCATATAATGCGTAAACATTTGCAAACATCTTAGAAAGATGAAGGAGTGCATAGGAGTAGATATATTAATCACCGACAAACAGACGAATACAAGGCTTTCTTATCTGAGTACCTTTGAAAGTGCATAAATAGTTACGCGTGCCAAACTTGAAGAGATTGCCCACTACAGTTCAAAAGTTTTGCCGCAAGACAGAAGGATAGACAGACCAAAAAGCCATTTATAGCCCCGATCTTCGACCTTCCGGGGCATAGAAATATACTTTCACAGGTAAAGAATATGAAGTCATTGTTTATGGTTGAAGATATTTTATATATATATATATATATATATATATATATATATATATATATATATATATATATATATATAATATATATAATATATATATATATATATATATATATATATATATATATATATATATATA